TCTCTCATATCAAGGCAATAATAACATTCAACAAAATATAATATCAGGATAAGAGCTTAAGTCTGTAATAGCGCTGAGCAGCACAACTGCACTTGAAGTAATGAAGATAAGATACGAGCATCGCAACATAATTCTTAAAACTGAAAGATAAAACTTTGTTGATTAAAATGTGGTTCAATGAATTACGTGAACAAATCTTAGAAGCGAAGAACAATATACGAACAATGTTATAAAAAATATTGGTAAGGATTTTCCGTCAACGTCGAACGCAATAAAACGCACGTAATTAACGCATACTTTCAGTATATGATACAAAAATGCATTCTGGTGAAGGAAAAAAGTTTGGAATTATAGCCTAAAAAGTAGAAAAATTAAGAGGAACATAGATAGATGTTCGTATCTTCGTAACTGTCCCTCCAGAAAGATAATATCAATTATATCATGATACTAAAAAGAAGATTTACAAACTTTTTCGTATCTTATGAATTTTACTGCATTCCTGAATAATGGAAGGCCACCTACGGTCACCGGTTCAGTTCCTGATATATGGTATAAATAATTACATAGTGAAGTTTTTAGATGAGATTTTGACCACACAATGGATTGTTTTTCAATCTTTACCATTTTTTTTTCTCGACAGCTCATTGATTCTTCCATACTAATTTAGCATTGTTCCTCAGTTCGTGATTCATCTGATATGCCAGAACCACATGCCAGTGGTTACAGTTCAGAGTACCAAGACTGGAGCAGTGAGTCGTGGGTTCGATCCCAGCTACCTGCTACAGTTCTATTTGAATCGGCGAGGAGGCCGGGCAGTTATGCACAACAAAATTGAAGAAGGTGAGTTGCGTGATCGAGACCGCATTAAGCAGTGAATATTTTGCGATGTTAAGAATCGGCGGCACTTCTAATGGCTTAATAAATACTGACACCGCTATACTATTATTATCATGTAATCATTAATTTATCATGTAACACACCGCATGCCATGACACAGCCCCGGCCTGACAGAGCGACAACTTGACGACGCTTCGTAGCTCACTGACCAATTCAGGGAGCCAAACAAGACCAGTGAAAACAATTACAGAGATCATGACCATTAAAACTACCATTTCATTTGAAGATATGATAAGGTGGCGGTATGATAAGGTAGAATGAAGTTGTAAGTTTGGGCGTTTAATCACACCTGTCCTTGCAACGCTAATCGGCCTGCCTACTGTCTTCATGTTTAAACGAGCGAATGAAATTTATACGGATCAATAAAATTTCCCGAGCGTGTCTAGGTCTTTAATAATTTAGGTAATAAGATACATGTATGTATTCACGGTAATGAATAAGCTAATTTTAGGCCATGAAGAACGGATGTATTCGCACAATTTATCTGACGAACACTGAGAATTTAAAACTTTCATTTGTGGAAAGACAAAGGCACGGAAATACTCTTTATAAGTATCAGCAAGCTTTTTTATGCATATTTATTGCAAATTAAGGCATTCATTTTTGAATGACATAATTTAAAATTGAAAAAATTATCTTATGGTTGAATGAAACTAAACATAATTGTTGTGCAAACATATATACATCCTTGATAAAAAGTGACTGGGCCGATGCTAATAAAATTAAAATCTTGCAAACAATTCCAGAGCGTAGGCGAGATAGTAACACGCAGACTCTTGAGATCTGGGACGGCCTTAACCCTGGCGTCCTATGCCCTCCTAAGAGACGGCACTGTTTTCTCTTTCCTCACTCGTAACTCTAAGCATGCGGCTAACTTATTCTGTAAACCAAGTAAGCATGCGGCTAACTTATTCTGTAAACCAATGCTGAAGTCTTGTACCTGATTTTATTTCTAGCGTGACAAGCGCCTATGTGAGGAACCATCAGCAGGGCACCGAATTGAAAAATGTAAGCAGCCCAGTTAATCTGTACGGCGCTCAAACGATGCAGAACATCAAATTCACTCCTGACTGCTCGAATACTGACTTGAAGTTGAATTATAAATTAATCTGAAGCCAGGAACGTTTTATATCAGAATTTTAACAGGAAATAATTGATTAAATTTTCGTAATGGAATCACGATATTTGAAATTGACCGGCATGCCACATTTAAGACCAGAAATGAAGGGACAAATTCCAATTCTGTAAAAAATTGCGTCCACTATCGCTAAAATTAATTATGCATTGGTTGTATTCCATTGAATAATTCAAATGTTGGAGAATCGTGCACATTCAATGTCACCGCGCTAACCTAACGAGATCTTCATGGATGAACTTTCGCTTTCTCTTCCTAGGTCAGCTGGCTGCAGCTGATATGATTGCAAGATTTTGCGTATATATAGACCTGGAATAAACTCCTTTAATTTCATGATTATTAAATCGCCAGAGTTCCACATTCTCTCAGTTTTGAGACCGGAATTTATATTAAATCTATTATCCGACTGCTCCCGAAATGCGATCTTCAAAAAAAAAAAATAAATAAAAAAATCATGAAATACAAAAAAATTATTTGACATATGCTTGATATAATTTTGAAAATACACAATAAATGCATTGCAGGATATTCTGAAAAAAAAATTCCTGCGCGCTTACTTAACCAGATATCTCGCCCACCTCTAAGCGTTTGTAATCCTAACCTAACGCGTTGACGTCAGGAGGTCGACTGATCATCAGTGACCAACAGCACGCTACACGCGTCAGTTGCTAGTCGACGACACCTGGAATAAACTCCTTTAATTTCATGATTATTAAATCGCTAGAATCCCACATTTTCTCAGTTTTAAGACCGGAATTTATTATATGTTTTCCAACTGCTACCGAAACGAGTTCTTACCAAATAAGAAATACAGAAAATTTTAAAAATATACTTAATATAATTTTAATAATACACTATAAATGTATTGCAGAATATTCTTAATAAAATTTCCTGCGCGCTTACTTAACCACAATTCTCGCCCACCTCCTAGCATCTGTGAACCCAACCTCACGCGTTGACGTCAGGAGGACGACTGATCATCAGTGACCAACAGCACGCTACACGCGTCAGTTTCGAGTCGACGACTTTGGGTCGGGAGCCGCTCAAGCCTGTCTACTGACATTGACCGTGGTAAATGCTAATCGTATTGGAAGGCCTGGGTATCAGAATACAAGGATTTGTATACTCACACGTAGAGAGGCGAGGTAGTTTATGTATAAGTGTCCGTCCAATATAATGATTGTTTGTTCATGACAACAGAACAACGGAGTGAATTCTTCCCTCGCAAGTATGCCAAGTACATTAGCAAATATGAGACGTGTGGCCAAATGTATAGATCAAATTTGTATATAGATCGAAGTAATGTTTGGTGGCATGGTAGTGGATAAATAGATCAAGGGATGTGGTGCCATGCCGCCGTACGTACCTTTTAATATATACGGAACCGAGTATGGAATGCTCGTGGAGTGGCGATAATGGAACGTCCATTAGAAAAGTACGCCTCGACAGCAAACACACTCTGCTCACTTATCTAATGCATAGTGGCAACTGACTAGGCGGGACACAAAACTTCATGACATTGCCTTTCACATGAAATATTCCCCGCCCTTTTCCTACAACATCTGGCTGCTTAGCGAGAAATGCAAAACAGGAATTTTCCGTGAATTACCCTGTTTTTTTTTTTTCTCCTCTTTTGACAAATCGTAATATTTACTGAAGCAAACCAAAGCATCATCGCATATTCAAAATAGTGTTATTTACGAGTGCAAATGAGCGCTTACTTTTTCTTTAATTTTGGTGCTTCGGGTGAGATTCATGGGGAGAGTTTCGGAATTGAACTACACGCATTATTTTTCCGACATCAAGTATGTATATCATAGGTGTAAGTGTCCCGCGAGTTACCGTGGACGAAAGTTTAGATCATTGTAAACAGTGAACTAGAGTTCGTGACGGTTTCTGAAATGAACTTAAGAATAAATTTTTAAAACTAGGCATGGTTCTATGAGGGACATTATTTCAGATTAAGATTACGGTATCTTTAGTGATAAATAATTCTCTTAAGCAATGCGAAGTGAGGGGTTTCTGCGAAACTCTTACCTAGTCATATGATGAACTTCGGTCAAGCGAGAACATAGAAGAATCATATTTAATTAGTAAAGCGTGTCGTTACGAGCGTATCAAAAAGAAACTTANCGTAGCAAGGCTACGAGACGCCGTAGCAAGGCTACGAGACGCCGTAGCAAGGCTACGAGACGCCGTAGCAAGGCTACGAGACGCCGTAGCAAGGCTACGAGACGCCGTAGCAAGGCTACGAGACGCCGTAGCAAGGCTACGAGACGCCGTAGCAAGGCTACGAGACGCCGTAGCAAGGCTACGAGACGCCGTAGCAAGGCTACGAGACGCCGTAGCAAGGCTACGAGACGCCGTAGCAAGGCTACGAGACGCCGTAGCAAGGCTACGAGACGCCGTAGCAAGGCTACGAGACGCCGTAGCAAGGCTACGAGACGCCGTAGCAAGGCTACGAGACGCCGTAGCAAGGCTACGAGACGCCGTAGCAAGGCTACGAGACGCCGTAGCAAGGCTACGAGACGCCGTAGCAAGGCTACGAGACGCCGTAGCAAGGCTACGAGACGCCGTAGCAAGGCTACGAGACGCCGTAGCAAGGCTACGAGACGCCGTAGCAAGGCTACGAGACGCCGTAGCAAGGCTACGAGACGCCGTAGCAAGGCTACGAGACGCCGTAGCAAGGCTACGAGACGCCGTAGCAAGGCTACGAGACGCCGTAGCAAGGCTACGAGACGCCGTAGCAAGGCTACGAGACGCCGTAGCAAGGCTACGAGACGCCGTAGCAAGGCTACGAGACGCTGTAGCAAGGCTACGAGACGCCGTAGCAAGGCTACGAGACGCTCTCCATGAAGCAAAGTGCACAAAAATTTAAAGAACTCGGCCGCATATGAGAAAATAACGTCAAATAACGTCTGCCTCAAAGACCAGCTTTTGAGAAATAAGGAAGCTAATTTACAATTATATAAAGGTCAGCCTATTTATGATATCAATCAAAATCTTAGTCTGAGATATTAAATATGTTCATGATAAGTTCTGCCAATAGGGATAGAATAAGATACGTTGTTTATGTTTCATCTTCATACTAAAATATGGTCCTAAAATAACTTACAACAAGTAACACTCAAAATACACAAGACTTGATCTTCCAACAAAATAAATTTGGAACAGAAAGAAAAGTACAATACATAATAAGAGAACAATACTATAACCGATAAGTATAAATAATCAAGAAAAAAAAGCCTTAATGTCCAGACAAGCGAATGTTGCAGTACATTTCCGAACAGAAACCCCACCTGCAACATGAAAGCAGCAACTAGGATTTATACGAACCTAAACCTAAGTCTTTAGCGCTCCATTATTCTGCGATCGTATACTCGTACGTGGAGCTCGCGAGAAGAATTTAGCAAAGACAAACTCTCATTAACGAAGTGACTTCAAATGTAACATTTGATCAGACCAACTTCTACGCATCGAAATGATGAGTTCTTTGACAATATGACTAATTTTGAACTAAATCATACGTTTTCATGTAAAATCTACAATAATTAACAAATAGCAAGAAAACTTTGCATGTGACTCAGCGCAAATAGTACATATAAATCTCAATGAACAACCATCACCGTACAAAGAATCTAAACATTTTTGATTGCACTACAAATTCTACTTCAAAACAGCACCATTTCTTCCCTCGTCAGTGTGGTGTCTTTAACTTATAAATACGCAAAGAGTAAATAAGACAAATTGAACGGGACAGATTTCCCGTCGCGTCCGTTACTCAGGAAAAAAAGTTCTGAACAAGTAAATACAAGAGGCATGTGCGCGTCTGCATCCTTAATATATTTCCTGGGAACGGACTAAGTAATGAACGTGCGCGCGAATCACCGTTTAATGAACATATGAACAACTTGAGGAAATTTCTTGCCAATTTTCAATCTTAATTCAACTAAGATTTCCTCAATCCAAAGATGCATTAATTTCACCACAAAACCATGCACCATCCTCCCCGCTATATGCAATAACTTTTCCAAGTAAGGGGAAACTACTTCATCTCATCTTTAGTATAAAAGTTATTCATTCTAATGTACTGGATTGTAGAAGTATAGTTTGTTAGTGCTGAATTTCGTCAAACGATTCTTCTAGCTACTGTATACCCAAAGTTTGCATTCATTCATTACAATCAGAGTCTTAAAAATTACTCGCATGGCTTCTCAAATTCTGTGAATTGGAGCACATCAGGAAAATATTATAAACTTTCACAATTGGGAAAACGCTAAGAAATTCCTAGCTTTGAAACTGCGAAATCGGCAAGTGAACCTACCACCCTAGGAAATAATCTACCGTTAAATTGTATGCAATAGTTCGCTCATTGAGAACACATCAATAGATTTTTCAAATTTATTTTAAATTAGTCTGAATATATATTTATGAATGACCATTAAGGAAGCGTAGTGAATATAGCGAACGCAATACAAATCAGCCTTGATATTAACCGCGTCAACTTACATAAATGGTAAAGAACATCCATCTAATTTTTGTACGAGTCAATTATTACTTTGCACAATGCAAACAGATAATTTATAATGAAGGATATTCGTTGATAACAAATGTTAGTTAACTTCCTTGATTCAGCATTTTTGTCACACAAAAAAATACTAAGGCTTTTTTATCGCTGTTTTATTCTGAATTTAGAAATTAAGTGACTTCGAATCAAATATTGTATGTAGAGACGAAGCTGAGAAACATAGTAAATAATAAAATAAATGTTCCATCCTCATATGACGTCAAATATGCCGGATTGTCAAGCGGGTAATTTTTCAAGTGTGAGTTGTCAAACAGGTAATTTTTCACGTATGGTTAGAGGCATGCAATGACCGAGACCCAACGCCCCAGGGAACCGAGTACGGAGACACGCTGAGACACACATTCAGGGCGATGGTGAGGAGCGCATTAACGAGCTGAGACAGAATGAATGAGACATTTCTGCCTGAGAATCAAATGAAAGAGGAGGCGAGTTTGATGACCTTTTGTTGTCAGCTTCCTTCTTGAGACTGTTGAGGTATTCCTCCTGACTCTGGGCCAACACCTGAGCCAGGACGTCCAGCTCTCCGTGGGAATAGTCACTCAAACCTGGAATAAAAAACAACCATTCACTTATTCTATTCCATGATTTGAATGGTAGAGACCCTGGCATCCATGCAGCAACAGTAATAAACAATCAAAGAGATCATAGCATCATAAAACACAATAAATACATGGCAATAATAATAATAGAAAAATCGAAATTTCTCACCTAAAATATCATGAGGCACGTGATTGAGGAAAGAGGCGCGCTCGTCGACAGCGAAGTCGCCTTCGTTGTGCACTCTGGTCTCGTCGAAGCCTCTTGAGCAAGAGGCTCCGGTCGGGGAGAACGAAGGGTCCTTCGAAGGGCCTGGCACAGCGTTGTCCACATCAGTGCCGCTCTTGAAGCCTTTACTCTTACCAGAACTACGGCTGCCTTTCTTGCACTTGGGAGAGGATGAACCTCTAGCAGAGTTGGTTCTTCTCTTAGAGTCGCGCGAGTGGCTGGAGAAGGAGTGGTGAGGTGAGTGGTGGGCGCAGCCCTGGGGAACGGTGGGACTGCTACGGTGAGTGGGCGACCCACGCAACGACAGCGGCGACGAACGAGCCGCTGGAGGGGCGGGCGACGACCGCGAGTCTGACGGCACACTCGAGCTCGACGACGCACCGACGTGCTGGAACACGTCACACCAAACGTCAACAGCAATTATGGCATTTTTGTTATTTGAAAGAATAACTCATACATTGTGGTCACGCTGTTCAAGTCGTAAACGATATAAATAATTAACAAAAACTTCATTACAGTCGAATTGTTCCAGTTTCAAATATTAACAGAAATGTTTCTTTCAGAGTAATTTGAATGCATAAAAATAAATCCTGAATATTGATATTATTATTCAAAATGAATAATAATATCAAACTATAATCCTACCATTTTCAGACAATATTCAGGAGACTTCAATAATATTCAATATTCTTTCAACCTGAAGATTTCAGCGCCGGCAACTTCAGAATAACACTAGCAAAAATATCTCAAAACACAGTTTCCTACTCTCTTCCAATTCGGCGCTGGGGTGTTTGTTCACTCACGACACAAGCTCATGAAAAAAATTATCAACAGAAATAGACCGTTCGACAACGTGATGATTGAAGAATGTACTAGCGGTTCGGGTTCAACTAGCATCATATTTATAATCATATTTATAAAGAAATTAAAAGTTTCGGTGGTTGACAATAAAAAGAATATGAAGTGGGAACCTGAGCCTTGTTGCGCTTGTCGAGGTCGCGCAGGTAGTCGAGGTAGCTCTCGCTGGCCACTTGCTCCTCGATGGCGTCCGCCGTCGCCTCGTAGTCCGTCGCACGCAACTTGTCCTCCAACATCGCCTGAACATATATTATATTGTATTATATCATATAATGTATTATATTATATCCCTGCACTATATAGTCCAAGCTACAAATATGTTATCAATAGCAAGTCTTGGTAACAATTATTTCAAATTTATTATCAATAAAAACAATAATAATGCACCACACGATTATGTTTATAAATAGGTACTTGACGTCAAATGAAAAATCAAGAACGCAAGATAGCAAACTTGATGGCTTTAACGTTGAATATCAAACTTCCTCAAGTTGATTGATGAATTTACTGGTTAGAGATGTAAATTGAACTAAACTTGTTGAACAAAGTTGAGGTTGACAGCAAATTGTTCAGTTGTACATGTAAATTATACAAGATATGAAGTAGGTGAATTTACACCAAGAGACAACACAATAATGTGTTTTTTTGTGTGTTTTACTCTTGCACCCTTGCACTAACGTTGGGTGCAAGAGTGAAATGACTGAGTGATGACAGTATAGAATTCCTTCCATGCTTGAAACTACCAACAAAGTGACCTGGGACGGCCTTAACTAGTCACGCGACAAGCGCATGCATCTCTCCACACACTTGATCCCTCTCCGTCCGACCGAAAACAGCTCCTGACCGCCCCTTAACCAGCCTATCCAGTTCAATCCTACTTGCCTCACCACCCAACACAAAACAGCTAAGGCTTTCTGCTATCAGACATTTAGGACAAGCGAGGTACTCCTTTATCGAGCGAAATTGGATGAATGGCTGAGTTGTCCATGAGCTGTTCTTCATGAGAGAACTGGTCCTAAGTAGGAAGCGAGCCTAAGTTGCTGGGTGAGAGAGACAGTCGCTGGACACTGCATCACCTAAGCTCGCAATTTCGCCGCCTACTTGGAGCGAACATCCTACCCAACACTGCTGCACCTGAAGCATCTTGGTCTTCAGTACTCCGCTCATCTCTTCATTAATCAGTCCAATACTTGATGGTTACTAGGGAATGACAATTAACCCGAACAGTAGCCAAGACCAAGGAACTAGGGCTAGATAAGGATCCTATGTCCAAGGAACTTGGACTATAGGATGAGCCCAAGGAACTAGGGCTCATCCTATAGTCCAGTCTCTCTCTTTTCTGACCAGTAACAAAGAGCCCAATGAAAGTCACCCCAAGGTGGGCGACCTGATAGCCTCCTGGTGAGGTCATCATGCCTTCCCTATTTTATGGAGGCGAAGAGGTCCCACAGCAGCTAAATTCTTATCCCCCTTCACGGAGTAATCAGGCTGGCACACCTACTCTGCCTTCCAAGGAGCACGGCGTTCACGGCTAGCGCAGCTGCGGTCGCGCCGCAGCAGTTAAATTGCAGACTATACTTCCAGGTTGGGGTGCACACCGAGAGCCGCCTGCCTCGAGTGCGGAGCCCTCTTCTACTGAATTCACCTCCATCTCTTCATCTGTCTCATTCCCCACTGCCCTCAACGTCTCACCCACCATCATTCCAATTACGGCACCACCACATCAAATTATTTTACCTGTAGTATAACTTGTGATAGACAGTATCACTGAGGCAGCTGTCTTTTTGCTCATTCTCTCAATCTGCGCCCAAATTTCCCCCTATTCCAGTGACTCCTTCTCATCCAATACCTGACCCAGGGCCTGCCAAACATGTGACCATCCATGCAAGAAACGATATCCTACTGTGTAAAGATTCAAGATAATCTTCATTAACCTGTTCAAGGTGAAGGTTTTCACTCTGGCGTGTTGCTTCCTTCATGAGAGTTTTGTCAGCCAGGCCAGGCACAAGGTTAGGCAGACCAAGTCCCACCCCGCACGAGGGGTTCAGGGGGTCAATGAGGCTGTTGTAGTGTGTGCCGCTGTGGTAGCTCAGACGAATGCATGGGTTGTCCGAACCCACTGAGCTTTGGAATATGTTGATTGGCTCTGCACACAACAAATTTTGTGCGTTGGAACTTACAGCAAAGATGAACACATTATATTGAGCTGTTTTATTACTTAGCTCACATAATACGGTATATTTCAGGGCTATTCTAATTTCTTGGAGTTTAGTGGAAATATAGTTTTTATTCAAAGACCATTCTGGTCTATTCCATTATTTAAAATTGTACCCATTAACATCGTATAACGATATAGAAATTTATTAGGATCTTTAAGCAAGAGCAAGTAAATGACTTGCAGGATGTTATCTGTGTCATTCATCAAGAAGATAACTTACCAGTGCTGTAACAATAGACTTCGATGACGCGGTTGTACATCTCAGACATGGCAGCAATTTCAACGTGATTGCCAAAGACGTCGAGCTGGCGCTTGCGAGTTACATAAGTCTGGTAGTCTTCAGATACAAATGGCGAGAACATGTCTTTGTTAGCTTCCTGTTGAGAAAATATTGAACTGAAGAGACACGCCCCGTCCTCCTGCATCTTCTTGATCATGAGCCCTTTCTTCTTCATCTTTTTCTCAAACCAGCGTTCTTTCTGCTCATTACCAAACCAATTAGTAGAATTCTAAATCAACTAATCAAAATTTTTTTATTTGCCATAGACACAGTAATGATCTTTCAAACAGCAACAACATCACAACTTTACATCCTGAGATGAAGAGATGAATCCTAAACCCAGTTGCCAATTTAATCATAGACAAATTAACCCTATACGTATACAAGTTATGCCACGAGTGACAGGTAACTGAAAAATAAACTGAAAAATAAACACGTGAAGGCACCTCAGTCCACTCCTGAGAAGAGAGGTTCCAGTTCATGGGCTGGTACTCGTCGCCGCTGTTATATCCGCTCTGGTGCTCATCGTCGTGGCTAGAAGCATTGCAAGATGAAGGCCCAGCCTGATAAAGAGAATGGTACCAGGTACATATTTGCTTCAGCAACACAATTGAGAAACAATACATATAGGATGCATTAAGTTTTGCTAAATTTGTTCAATGATACAACAAATTTTGAACAAATTACCACACAATAAAAACGATTCAAAAAGCCTCGTACAATGAATGACTTCAGTAAAACAATATAATATTTTCTGAATTTAGAAAATTAACAACATAAATAAACTAATATTCAATCCAATTACAAACTAATGAAAATCTAGTAGAACACAAATATTGAACAAAATAACTTCACATAAGACATGATATCCATTTATCATAATTTATTGTGAATAAAACTGAAGATAAATGCCAAATATTATAAAGTACCTTAGGAGAGAGAGGAGGCATAGGAGATATTTTTGAGCTGGATGACATTTGATGAGAATGAGAATGTGGTGACATGGGATGCTGGTTCACAGAAAACCCCCCCGCATATGTTGGGGAAGCGCTGCCACCTCCCACACGATGGTCTCGTAATTTGGGTCGAATGCTTCTGAAGAGGAATAAGAACAGAGCAGGTTAGTCAAAATACACATATAGAGCATGTTAATTACAGAATAACTATAAACTGGTAAAACATTTGTAATTATAAGAATGAACAACAAAAAATTTTATGCTGTTAAGAACATTTTCATGCTAAATGGCAAGTCTCACTATAGAAAGTACCTATCATGCTATCATGAAACTCTTCACAATCACACTAATTTCTAATACAATAAATAATGTTCATTGTAACAACATGATTGGAGAAAATTTGAACCTTGCCAATAAATAATTTTCACAGCAGAATATCTGGGTATAATTATAATACGGTAGGTATATATTTAGCATTGTGCTTAACAGGCAATAATTGAAATTAATAGGAAAAATTCTCACAGGGATTGACATGCCTTGCATACCTATACCCCAATGATAAAGAATCTATTTCATTTTGACCAAGAAAATAAACTAATTTCTGATACAATAAATAATGTCAATTGTAACAACACGATTGGAGAAAATTTGAATCCTGCCAATAAATAATTTTCACACCAAAATATCTGGGTATAATTATAATATGGTATATATTCAGCATTGTGCTTAACAGGCAATAATTGAAATTAATAGGAAAAATTCTCATAGGGATTGACATGCCTTGCATACCTATACCCCAATGATAAAGAATCTATTTCATTTTGACCAAGAAAATAATGAAATAAAATAAGAATAAATGATCACCTGAGAGGACTTGTTCTATAAGCTCTTCGCTTAGAATGACCAGCCAGGCCTGAAGAACTCCCTGATCCGCTTGACTGGTCATCGTCATAAATCTGTGAGCTCTGACGTGATGCATTGCAGTCTTCATGAACACCTCCTTTGCTTACAGACTGCAAATAAAATTAATGCATTAGGAAAATTAGCTGCAATAGATTTGTTTTAAATTATCTAAATAATTTCTCTGCAGGTATAGCAGCCATACAGAAGCATAGCCATCTTCTGGCACAACATATTCCAATCCATTTATATATAAAAAGTTATGACTGGCCACATCATGGCTAGACACTTGATCTCCTAAGAACAATTAAGTTCACACGTGTGCCTATACTGTAACTCCTGAAGTAGCAGCACAATAAAGAGTGATTATAGGATTATGTCGTGTTAATTAATAGAGTTTTTCCCTATATTTTCCAGGCTGAGAACCAATTCATGCTAGTAGGGTAAAATCTCCTGTTAACACTTGGTAACACTTCAAACAGCTTCAGACAAGATACACTGGTCTCTGATGTGTATTAGATGAAGATATTATGGAGCTAGTCTCTGATAAATTTTTGATGAAGATATTATGGAGCTAGTCTCTGATACATTTTTGATGAAGATATTATGGAGCTAGTCTCTGATACATTTCGATGAAGATATTATGGAGCTAGTCTCTGATACATTTTGATGAAGATATTATGGAGCTAGTCTCTGATACATTTTAGATGAAGATATTATGGAGCTAGTCTCTGATACATTTTGATGAAGATATTATGGAGCTAGTCTCTGATACATTTTGATGAAGATAGGTATTATGGAGCCAGTCTCTGATACATTTTTGAGAAGTATACCTTATTATAAAGCTAGTCAAAGAAACATTTTTAATGAAGATATTATGGAGATATTTCTTATATGAACCAATACAAGTGTTCTTTAGTAAATGAATTAATAACCTTTTAGAGTTGAATTTTATGAACTTATTACATAGAAGGTTGCATTACTTCACATAGATAAAAAGGTTTCTAAAATCTTCTGTTCATGATGACTGACTAAATCTTTGCAAAATAAAGAATTTGAAGGTACCTTCAGGAAAAATTAGCTGTGAAAGAAATAACTCTTGCCAAACACTAAGATTTAATTCCAGAATTTTGTACATACTACTGAGTACTGACGCAGACATACCTGCAAGTGAGGAGGTATACTTGAAGCCAACTGTTGGTGATGTCCATGGTGTGATGAACGAACAGAATTAGCAGTTTCAGCACCATTATTATCATTGCCACCAGATGCCTGGGACTTCTTATTTGGTAATATAGTCATAGCTGTCTCTTAAGAAGTAAGAACCTCAACTGAGCTGCAATGTACCAAGATGATCAACAATTTCATGATTAGTGAAACAATTAGTTCTGATATATACAGATACCTTACCCAGCGTACTATGAGTCCGTGACTGGTTTACAATGGCTAATATTGAACTTTGAACCTGTCTTGATATTAAATTTTCTAAAATGAATTTCCACTTCAATTTAATTAGTTGAATTTTTTATTAACTTCAGAATTAATTTAAATATTTGAACAATTTTTGGCCTCTAAAATTTTTGTCCGGTAGTATCCTAGAGGCTAGACCTACCGGTAATCAAATTCATAATATATATTATACTAGCCTACTAGGAATAGGATGAATGCAATTTTATTACCTATATTAGAATTTGCAAAAATATTCATTAGAATATTGGAATGATGAATGGATACCAGTACTACTACTAGACAATATTATTAATTACAATTTACCTGATTTTATACATATGATGAATTGATGATAGGTGATATGTCAAATTGTCAATCAGTCAAAAGATTCAAAGTCAATGGACAATGATCATTGATAAAAAAATGTGAATATTTGATGCATCTTATAACTTAAAAATAAATATTTACACCTTAAAAATGGTATTGCATACTACTACCTACTATGCTATGTATGGTACTAAGAATGTCAGAATATGAATCAATGTCCTATGGACTATGGTCTATGGTCATTGGATGATTGGATTTTTCATTTGCCAACTGCCAAGTGAGTCCTGATGCCTACAAAAAATTTAGTTTTACTTATTTAAAAAACCAACAACAAAGCAGATTAGCAGAAGCAGGAACCTGATTGCAAACTAATTATTTGCCTTAATGCCTTGTAATAAAACTTGTTTAATATTCAAGTATAAATTTTTCTACTTCCTTAAAACCTAGATGTTGCTTGTTGGTAATTTTCTTTTTTAAATATAAGAAAAAGTAACCCAGTTTGAAAATATTTAAATCACTTATATCATTACATGCAAATTGCAATCAACAGGTTTTTGTCATCCATTTTTTTCATTTATTTGCATTTCAATATGGCTAAAACTGTATGCAATTGTGGGTATATTCAGCCAGTCGGAAAACTTGGATTTGCATGCAATCAACAATATTTGTCATTTAGTTTTGTTCTTATTTTAATTTCAAAATTGCATGAGCTGCATGCAGGTGTGGCTACCAATTGGCTAATTTTTTAACTTCTCATTGGGTAACCACAATAGGGTTCAGCTGAGTGAGTCCATTGTAGAGCCACTGGCCTCTGCCAATGCTCATTATAAATATAACAAATTGTATCAACTTCAAAGTTAAAAGCAGGGAGTTATTTAGAATTTCCCTCAACCTTATTTTTTAGTTCTTTAAGTAGACCAGTAAAATATCAAAGATACCAGCATAAGCATACATACAAATTTGTTTGAATTTTCAGTTAAGAAGGGAATTAAAATTATACTGATGCCAAAAAATCTTTGGTTTGCCACTATGCTCAACTTTATTGTCTCATTATCTTAACACAGATTTCATAATATAGATTGTTCACTATTATATCTCCTGTAAAATTTTGTGTCATTAATGGTGGATGTACTGCTGGCAGAGCACAATCAGGAGTCTGGACAACCTCCAAAGGAAGGCTAGCAGTTGTACCGCTGGCATCTTGCCACCTGATGGTTATCAGTAATTGTTAATAATTGCTACTCCCATCAAAGGTAAACACCAACAATATCCTTATTCCAGACCAATTGACAATCAATTTGGCAATACTTCTAATTCCTACCCCTTAATTAAATGAATTTTTCTCCTTATATAAAAGGCCAGTGAATGAAAGTCTGCTTGTAGCCTCCTTATACTGCATTGCAAATAGTTTAATTTGTCTGATGTATTATAAAATATATATTAAATAGTAATTTTGATACCAATGACAGTATATTTTTTAATATTGCAAACTATCTTGTGTATTGACTAATAAAGATTAGGTACAACTGTGCAATGACATATAATAAAATTAAATGACAATATTTATGGATTTTAATGTAAATCTTGTTCAATGTTTTCAGTTTGATGTCTTTGACCCATTTACATTTTTTGAATGTGTTACGTACTATAGGTTTGCTGTGCATCGTAAAGTAGCGTCATGTTGTGCAGTGTAAATTAACATACTTTTGAATTTGCAGGTATGCTGTCAGAAGTTCTCCACCTGGAGGTACATGTCAAAAGTTGGCCATCTGGAGTTGGCCATTGTACAAGGCACCCACGCATTGCACTAATTCAGCCCTATGAAGTCCTTACAAGGTACCCACACATCGTGGTAATCCGGCTTTATGACTGTATTGCATAGGGTTTTACCGCAAACTTTGCTGTAAACCCCCCCCCACCCTGCCCACTTGCTCTCTTTTCCGAGTCCCTCACGGCTGCCGTGAGCGTCACAACGGCCGCGTGAGTGATGTGCCGGCCTCATTCTTAGAATCCCAACATGACAAGCAAATCCAAAAAAAACATGGCTTGAAAAATTCAGTTGTGGCTTGGCTAGTAGATATATTCCATGCCTGCTTACCTCAGGCCCTACCCCCCTGCAGTCAAACTCACTGTCAAAGTCTCAACCAAATATTTTATTTTAATTATAATAGACAGCCTACAAGGCTAACCTCCTATGACAAACGTGCCAGTTATTTCTTTTCTGAATGAGAGAACGTAAGCTAAATATGAACTAGTCCGAACGGCCAATCATAGCTTGATGCGTGTTGTCAATATATGTGTTGCCAGCTGCAGCCTGCAGCCAGCCAGCAGTGCGTTTTGAACTGGAGCCGCGTATGGTTGTCGATGCATGCGCTTCCTCAGCCTTCCTGTCATGCACTGTTGTCTGCCTTGATTCTACTAGCGTATGAGTCAGAGGTGTCTGGTGCGTAAAAACTAAGATTTTCTGTTAACTGATTTTAATGAATTGAATTATGATTGTTTAACATTCGCGTACATAAATTTAGTCTGCAATGCATAGGCTTAATTTGCATTCAGAAATGGGATGTTTACCCTAAAAAAAACGTGTTCTCGATTGCCACTATGTCTCAGGGTGCTAATATCTTTGACATTAGCTCATACAAAACAAAACCTAGAAATAGAAAGTAGAAATGATAGCTTTTTTAAGAAAAAGAGCCAAAAATTAGTTTGGCTCTTTTTCAGTTTTATTTTTACTTCACTTAAATTTAAAAGTTATTTAAATGTTTTTTTCAAGATGTATAATTTTCATTATGATTTATGATCAAAGAAAAATTTTTTAGCTAATGCTGGTATGCAAGATACTTGCAAGTCTACTTCTACAACCCAAAATAAAAGTGTAGTACCTAGAGGGATCAGGAATGGCAACAAAAATTTTTCTCAATCTCCTTTGCCACTAATGGCAGTGAAGAAGAAGAACTATCAACTAGGGATATATTGATAGCCTAATGAGTAATGATACTTGATAGGTATCATAGGTTAGATGTAGACTTACTAGACTACTACCTGAAGATAATGAACTAAGTGACTTAACCTCAATAATCTTGTAGCCTTGCTTACTGCTTCGGATTTATCCATAAAACTTTAAGGTCTACCTAACAATCTAACATCATAAACATGTAATGATGTACCTAAGGCTAATGAATTAAATTACTTAGGTAATCTCTTCTCTGCCAAGTTGCCAACAATAGGCTACATTAAAAAAATCCGAGATGCGATTATAAGCATTTATTAACACCTAGCATTAACAGATCAAGCTGCTGTCACTGAAGAAAACTTTACTGTAATCGCCACAAAAACTGTAAATCTGCAAGTTCTGCAACGACGCAGGGCCCTCTTGTTTAGATAACCTTCAGCAGTCGACTCTACCTTATGACCATTTTGTGGTCAGAATCTCAATGTCTGTGTTTGTTGGTTCTAACATGTCTTTTTTGCCAAACTAAAACGTTTCAATTATTTTCCAGATTATTGAGTTTAAAAGCATTCAAAAGTTTCTTCCTGATTTAAAAAATAATATATACAATTATTATTGGTTATAATAATGTGTAGGGTCGGGCATTTCTTAATTAAACGACCCGAATATATCGAATTCTATTCAATATATTCACGACATTGTATTACGGCACTGCAAGGACTTGACGTGAAGAAAATACCACTTGATAACTAATCAAAAAAATTGTTATCATACTACACACTGCTTCTTATTTTCAGGGAGCCACCATTGCAACGTTTCGGACAAATTTACGGCCGGACCAGCGGCCGGTCGAGTGGCCGCCGGACTCCAAACATACAAAAAACCTTGCCAATCAACGAAAACCTCGCAGGTTAGGCCCAGTTAGGAAGAGGTTCCATTAAAAATAAAACTAGAAAAAATAACATATAAAACAGGTCTCGGACACATTTACGGCCGGACCCGCGGCCGGAAAGGTTTTCTTTATGTTTTTATGGCTTTTCTAGGTTTTCTGAGTTTTTAATAGAACCTGTTCCTAACTGGACCTAACCCTGTCTCTTATACACATCTAGATGTGTATAAGAGACAGCCCGTACGTTGGATGGATCAGGATGCAGTGAAGCTTGTCCGGAAATCAGTTGCCATGAGTTCCTGCCAAAAAATGTAAACAATAAGTTTGCGATTGCGTAGTTGTGGTCACATTAGAGCGGTCAGACTGCATTATCACACAGGGTTAGCAATGATTAAATCAAAATGATTAAATCATGTGATTAAATCACTTGATTTTTTATAAAAAAAAATCATGTTTTTTTTATTTTATTTTCATTTTTCCATATATTTAAATATATTGAGTGGCAGTCTTCAATTTATATTGAGGTATTGTTATTCATGGTTTAGTATAAATGTACTATGAATGACAAATTGGTATATAAACTTGTTGCCTTTACTGTGTATTAGGTTCCAATAAATTGAATGTTTTTGGTACAGAGGCATCAAGTGGCAATACATTGTACGTAGCTAGCAGCTTAGCTAATTCTTATAAGGCTATAAGTAGTCTTTAACTATTTGACTATTTGCTATATATTGATTTCAATATACAATTTAAATGTGTTAGCTAGCTTATACAGGGTAGGGCAGAACTGATTGAAGTTTTGAGGCAAAATAAAAGAGTAATGGAGGTACATAAAGAAGAAAGTCTATTTTCCTCAAGATT